TTATCTCTCTCTCTCTCTCTCTCTCTCTCTCTCTCTCTCTCTCTCTCTCTATCATATTGTGTATAAAATTTTCAACAGTTGTATTATCTGTCTCTTATTATTTTCAACGTTGATATAAATCTGGTTAACAGTTCTGATAAGACTGGCTTACAGTCTTATTCGTAAAGTGTAAAAGCACGTTTAATAAATTTTTTTTTCTAACTACATCATGTTTTTATCGAGATTTCTTCAAAAAATTCTACAATTGTAATTCAATGTAATTAATTAATTCAAATTAATTAAATAAAGACTGAATTGTGTGGACGAAGCACATACTTATATCAAGTAGATTTGAATCGCGGTAACCGATTCAGAAGCAGTTGGAGCAATTTACATTTTAGAATGGTTGTCGCAAGCGAATGTTTGCCCGAGAACATTTTCCCTACATTTATGCAGAGCGGCCGATCTCGGATAAGTGGGTGAAGAGGTGGAAGACTAATTTGTCGAGTTCTATCTCAGCTCGGTAATTAAAATTCGTCGGAGAAATGGTGGCACTGGGAAAAGGGATCCTTTTCACTGACCTGGCTGTAAATCCTCTGGGAGAGTCGATATGGACGGCAGCCTGAAATAATACGGCCCAGACTAGCCAATATGTGCGGCAGAAGGAGAACCGATGGTTCGTTGATGGATTCTTCTGCAGAAATATAAAATCGATATCATTAACGTGAGAAATATTTTGCAGCAGTAATACAGAGAACACTTCAAGGTACATGTACATATACATACATTTGGAGGAAAATAATACATCATTATTGTTTTTGTTTGTGTAAAAATATAATTTAACGACTATGGGAAAACACGTGGAAAATATCATCTTTCTTAATTTGAAATATCACCAATATATATATACATATATATATATATAAGATTATCATGATTTATATGAAATGAGAATTATACAAAATACATGCAACGAGTAATCATACATAAATCTAAAAAGAAAGTAGTGAGTTATAATAGGAAACATGATCGTTCATATAAGTGATGGTAAAAAGATTTTTATAGAAAAATTTTGTCGTTAAAATTTATATAAAATTGTACAAGCCATAACTGCAAATTAGAAATATTAGTATGGTGATTATAAGATTATTCTAAGAAGATGATTTCCTTGATAAACACTGAAGCATGCATTAGAATGAAATACGTAGTCGAATTAGATTACATGATGCTCATAATCTGTGTACTCATAATCTGTGTGCATTGACAAGGAAACGTGCGAATGAGGTAGAAACATATATAATTAATAAAAAGCAAAATAAAAGATACCAGTTTTTGCGCAGCGCCTGAAGGGTTTACCTTCATGTCGAAACCGGAGGGAGATGCCCATTCGAAGAGCAGAATCATTACTGTTGCCGCATGTATAGCAACAATACCCACCAGCATCCATGAAGCCGTGTCAAACGGTTCTGAAAATTGCAACGTTTTATGATAAAGCGGTGATTTTAACATTGATGTTCATTGTGTATTATCATGCGATATAATATTTCTGCTTTTGTCAAATAACGGACGTAATTTTTACGAAATTGTATCAGTATTTTAAAGTATAGTAATATTTATTTTTAATTTATATCCAACATTTCATATATAATGAAAAATGACGTATAAATATATTATTACACATTTAGAAACAAAGAGTTGTAAATACTCTTTACAGAATATTTCTACACATATGCAATTCTCACCTAGAAATGCGGTGGGAGATATTATGCCCGTTCTCTTTGCTACGACAATAGCGATACCAGTTTCCATGTAAGGTACTGTAAAATCGACCACTGCTTCCCTTTCCGAGTTGATCATCAACGAGGTCATCACCATGTCAGTCTTCTTGTTGATGAGATCAGCTATAAGCCCATTCCACTTCCCGTGCTGCGTACAATAGGTGACAAGCCGCGCCATTTTATTAAACATGTCAGAAAGTCAGTTATTGTTACAAATTTTATGGAATACTGTAGATAATTTGACATAATATTTGTAGATTATGAATATTCACGGAAATAGTGCATAACGAAACAATACTCGAAATGATTTATCTTTGCAAGGTTATAAAAAAATATTTTTCTTGTTATTGTAATATTAATGATTGTCATTGTAATGTTAAATTATAATTTAACACGCGTCATTACCGCAAGAAGAATTTAGTTTATTTAAGAATTTAGTTTATGCAGGCTATCGTCTACAATATAGATGTATACTACATCATCGGAAACAACTTTTGTGTAGCGGAAATTAAACGCGTTAGAAGCGCATTCATGCGTACATTCCGTAATAATAGTCGTCAATAGCTAGGTCAACGTACGTGCTTGTAGTTATTATCGTCTAATAATTCGAATTTCGTACTTTATGACGTTCCACATCTACAAACTTGCAACAGTGAGGTGTGTAATTTTCCCACTATTTTTCACATTTAACCTATGAAGCATAAAGATTTAGAGTAATAAGTCATGTCTAAGTTGCATTACTTTTTGTTTGCAGTGTAGTCGTTGGCCGTAAAAGGATAGAAATGTTAAGCGTTTCTAAAAGGAAGAAATAATCATGCTAGTGCAGATGCGGTAAATGCTTCGCGGGAATTTTCTCGTTGCATTACAAGACACATCTATCTTCCGCGTGACGTAAGTAAGCATCGTCTTTCATGAATTTTGCCCTAGCTCACCTCCAAAGTACCCCACTTGCCATCCTCCACCCTTACGAGCTCGTAAGTGAAGCCGATTTCCTCGGAAAATTTCTGCAGCAAATCGATGCAAAATCCGCTGCAGCACTGATAAACACTCGCATTCTTCTGTGCTGTCAGCAAATCCATTCTGCAACAAAACGAGCACTCGTAAACTGCAGAATTTGCTTTAATACGCGATATAGCGTGCGCTTTATATTTACATATGCACATTCGAAAAATATATATTAAACAATAAACTTGGAGAAGAATTTTGATATTTGGCATCAATATATATAGCTAACAATTTTAGCAACGCGTTAGAAAATGCATTATTTATTTTAATAAATATTATATAGAGAAATAAGAAAATATGTGTGTGGAAATTTATTCAAGAAGAATATTAATAAAAGATTAAAACAATACATAAAATTATAAAGTAAAATGCAGTAATTGAGAAGATACAGTATCTCATAATATTCTCAGAATATATTTTAAATTAATATTGTGCTGTTTCTATCTCAGAAAATTTTCACAATAGTAATCACATGATAAAAGAGAAATTCTATTTAAATAGTGATTTACTTTTTAAATAGTAAAATACATCTTTTACACAAATAATGAATAATTCAACATAGTTACAATCGCATTTTTAAAGAAGCGAAACGTTCCTAAAGTTAGACTAACATATTAAAATGAGACATCCAAGGAAAGTTTTCTATTTGAATGTCTTGATTTTTCGCTTCAAGAATTTTTAAATTAAGTCGTTCTTCTATGTGATCCTGCTTGATTCTTTATTCCGGTATAAGCAAGGTGCAATTAAATCCACCGTGGCTGGCGGTCCGCGCCATTCGGGCCAGATGTTGTCGCGACAAGAACTGACAGCCATTGTTGGTCGCTCTTTTGAGAAAATCGTCCGTCGGAATGAAGTCCTTTCATGCATCTGACATGCACAGCTAACAAGATTCGCTCTGAGAGTAACATTAAATTCTTTTGTACGCAATACCCAAGTCATGATTAATGCTGATGCGGAAAGGGTGTTAAATTATTAAGATAAACAAAGTACAAAGGATACAAAAATAACAAACGTGAGACAAACATATTAAGAATATACAAAGTTTTCTCGCTAGCTTTTGCGGAATCTAGTAACCTTGCGCGCAATTTGAAAAAAATTCAATGTAAGGCTTTGCAATCTAATAATTCTTTGACGTATCCGTAAAATACTAACATCCCTTTCAATTATATTTATTTTATTTCTAAATTATAAGAAAAAAAATAATAAGTTGTCGGAAAATCATAATAAATTCAGAAAGAATTAAAACTAAAAGCAGAATTAATTATTTAGAAAAGCATGGGAAATGCACTTGTTGAATAACAAGTGATAGAATATATCGGTTGTTATTGCAGTTTGAAATGCAGTGATTCTCGCAATAAATACTTGTTAGTTTTATTGGCTTGTTTATGATGACTGTATCAACGCGATGAAACACAATGGTCAATAGTAGTCAGCTTTGAAAAAATCGTGTAGTAAATTTTCGTCTATCATAAGATCACCATAAAGATTTGTATAGGCTATGCCCACATAAGCTCGCCTCGGATCATAATCAACTCAGAACTGTGCTGACATCATAAAACTTTACACACCATTTGCAGGGGATATTAAATTTCGATCGGCATTGTTCCTTCATATGTGTACCTTCTACACATGTAAAAAAATCTTATCCAACAAACAATCTATATATTTTTTATTGCTGCGGTATACGAATTAAACGTAGTTATGATTTGACATATTTTTACATATTTATTAATAGTATATCAATCATTATTAAATCGTTTGGTGCTAGCGAATAATAGTTACTTCGAACAGTTGTTACAACATATTTTATTTGCAGCTAAACGATTGTGATCAATTTCGTTGAAGCATTGCATCAAATTGGCGATTAAAAAAGTTTGTTTGACTTTAAAAATTTCAAGCACTATTTAATGATGGCCAATAATGTAAAAGAATGTAAAGAAAAACACATTTGAATTACACTCGTATCGAGTTCTGTCATAAATGTTCTTTACAATTTTAACCAGAGTTTTCTCTGCAATACTTTTATTATATTTTTATCGTCTCCATATACAATATAATAATGTCTAGCGTTAACGATGCTTTTTCGAGAGAAAAAACATTCTACGAGAAACGGGAATAAAAACTACAAATATTTGATGGAAGATATATGTACAATAACTATCGATAACGGCACATTCGGCATTTGTTGTTTATGGTGTCGATTACGATATTTTTGCTGATATGCATGCGACACGCGAGAATATTGAATTCCAATATTCGCGACAAAAATCGGCGTTTTACATACTGAGTGCTGGCTTTTATATCACGTTTTCAATTTGAAAAAAAAAAAAACGTATACTTACACCCATTTACAAATACAATATGTGTAATATACTTACATAATTTGACATTTTTGTAGAATAGGATTGTCATGTAAAGAATAGTTATTATGTCGATAAAAATTTTGTTTCAAAGTGTTTGTTCAGAGAAGATTTGAATGCGATATAACAAGAGGGAAAGCATACCCGTGCGACTGTAACTTTAGCTGTTATATAAAGATATCTATCAATACGCTATCACTACAGCAAAGTACGTCCCTTTTGTCTCAAATGGGAATATTTGCTGAGAAGAGAACGTAAAGACGAAGCCGTGCGGGTATAGTAAAGCAGATAAGAGGCAAATATATTTTGTGACGCGGCAGAAGACGAGGTCCCGATGGAAGCATATGCCGGAATCGGCGGTTATAAAATCGAATACATATTCGTAGGTTAGCTTGACGACGACACTCGGAAAAGTACCATGGTGGAGACGCCACCATAAAGAGCCCCGCAGTGACGTTTATTACCACTCTCTCTCTTTGCAGTGGCACAGCACGTAAAAGGCGTTCACAATTTTGAGGGAGCGTGCGCCTGCTGTTACTACTACCATGTTGCCGCCGAGAAAAATGTAATGTTCTATTAAAAGCTAGAAGTTTACGCTTGTAATGCTTTCGGCTGCTCAGTTGCAGTCGCACAGCGGGTTGAGTCAGGAACTTTAAATGCTACCCTTCGGAGTCGACACTTTCAAAATGGGACTTTGGAACGCAGCCTCTCATATGATGCGCGTAACATTTTCTGTGCCAATTTGTTACATAGAATATAACTAGATACATGTAACACAGATTTATTTTATGTTACATTTTATATTATTTATTATTTAAAAACTTGAGAATTTATTTTTTTGCATTTATAATATTTTTGATTGAAGAGCTTGTCAAATTCTTGTAATTTGAAAAAAAAAAAAAACGGCTGAATGATGTATTTCCCGGACATTCTATCCAAGAATTAAAATGGAAATGTGGATTCATATAACAACATTACATTGTTTAATTCGTATATTATATGAATATGTCTTTCATTGGGTTCTCATCAAGGTTTCGAAACATTTACAGTAATGAGGCTTTGCGCTTCCGTAGAACGGAAGTGAGCTTTCTCCTTCATGTAAGATCCTTCGAAATGATGTAATATTCCGATAATCTCTAACGTTCTCATATGTGCAAGACGTTACTACTAGTCTGATAATGTTTACGAGATCAAACATACAAAAATCTCTATCCTCAATATGGCAACAAGTAAATAGTGACATTACGATGCATTAAATTACTCACGAAACATGATCTTACATAAAATTTTTGATAAAGCTTTAATTTATTCCTCCTGTCAGTCGGAAAAAATTTAATAAATTGTTCAGATGTCACACTTTACAATCAGATATATTAAACCTTTTATATTTTTTTTATTTTGATGACATTGTAATTGTTTCAAATTGAATTAAAAATTTTATTTTTCTAAAATTATTGTAAGGATAATTTTATTTTTTAATTATAACCCCTATAATTTTATTATATGAAAAAACAAATAAATAAAAAAGAGATTTTATGCCCATCTCGAAATATTATAGTATAAACAAAACTATCTCTTCGTTAAAATAATTTTTTTATTTCAATAGATATTGATTTTATGGAATGCAGTTTGTTGTACTTTGCAATAAAATTCAATTGTGTCTACCAAACGGAAAACATATGGAAGAGAAAAATATTTCCTAAACTTCTGTGTATGCTTCTGAAAATAATTACGCCAACAGGCTTCGTAGTCTGTTTTTATATCGTCGTTTAATCAATACACTTTTTATTCATTGTACAATATTTTTTTTTCACGTTTCTTACAAACAATGAAATGGTCGATTCTACAAACCAGCCAGACCACAAATTACACTACTCTCAACAGCAAAAATAAATAAAATAAATAACATACTCTTAACTTATACACCGTAGTGATGCGGGGGGGGGGGCTCCCTCCTGCCAGTCGGCAATAATGGAGTGCACTCAAAGTCACGAACACGTATGTCTGACAGTAACACGCGACTACTACTGCGATCGAGTAATATAGAGTAAAACTGCCACGTGTGTGTTATGTAAAGCGACGTTCCATATTAATCGCGAACTTTACGCGCGTAATTTTAGTCAGCATTCGGACGATGCTTGACGTTGATATTCCCAGAGGCGCGTAACGTGCCAGCTCCATCGGTTGCAATCGATGTAAAATCTCCCTCGTTTCTCATAATGCGAAAAACCGACTCCCGGTACTGTTCCGGATACCCGCATTGTTGGTTGTGCTCTGATCGGCCGTAAAAATGCACTTTAAATCCGCATTGTGGATCGATTTAACGACAGTGATTTGTCATGACGGACAGACGGTTATCGCGCGGATCCATTCCGTCGCATATCAGAAACATGAAAAATGAACGGCGGCTCTTTGCACAGCATATTGTGACCGGTCGACGCTTAACAAATAAATCGTTTTCCGAAGATTAAGTAGTTAGCATTGCTGAGCGCAAAAGACATATATTCTCGCGATTGACCCTTTAATCGAGATTCATTTTCTCTTAGCGAACTATGTTCCATAAGATATTATCACTTATGCTTGTATAACTTATCTTTAGATCAGTTTCCGTAAAAGTGATTATAATATTTGATAATTTAGTGATAAATTATATTAATACCAAAATCTAATTAAACGGAAATTAGATCCGACACAGAAATACATTTTTTAACAATT